TTGTCCTTTATGAACCTAGTGGGCGTTTGCACGAATTGACAGAGGGATACCTGTAAGGAAAGGTCCATAAGTTCAGTGCATAAACACACTGACGCCGCTTCGCAGATTAAATTCCGCGAATCAATCTCAGGAAGATTAAAGTAATCCATAACTACTACTGCTACTAATAATAATACTAGTAATACTAGTAATAGTACTAACAACAATATTTATGTATATTGTCGATTTTACGATCATATTGTTGCAATTACTCCGTATAGAGTTAACAACATATGCCGTATGTCAGGCAGAAATGAAGTTTTTTTTTGTCCTCCAGGCTTTTGCAGTTCAAATTCTTTTTTGCGTACAGAATATATCGTAGCGTCCTGACGGGGATCTTCTTACACAGATGGAATGGAGTTTTCCTTGGGCAATAGATAAGAAGCAATTTTGATGACAAGGAAAAGCTTTAGGCTGATATCATACCATTTAAGCAAAGCATCTGATGTACGTAACTCATTTACTCTACATTGTGGCGTCCTAAAACGGTTGGTGAAAGACTGGGGTATTTACTTACATTCATTTCAGCAGCTGTAAATATGGGCTGAAATATAGAGTGGGAGATTTATGTTGGTATAACTGTACGCTAGTCGTAGGCGAGTAAGAGGAAAAAAGTGAGAAATTTTTTTTGAAATAGGGATAAAGATGTTAAAAGCAGAATCGGTTAGCTTCACCGTGCTGGCTGACATGTTTACATGAGAGCAACATGGGAAGCATAAACGATTAAGAAAACCAATGGTAAAAACGAATGAAGCTGGATAGCTTCAATCAGCGTTTCCTTCTCAGCTCACACTTGGTATGGCTGCAAGGTAGGCATGGCTGAGTAAGCAAAATATGAAGGGGTAGAAACAAAAATGGTTATCTCAATCTTTTGGATTTATGAGTGCAAATGAAATCGAAAAGCCCGCTTGACGCGTTTTCAAGGTTTCTGTATACCAACACAATTTTGAATTCATCATCATTATACACGTTAGTTGCAGGTGGAAAACACAGCTATTGTGCCGCAATACTTAAGACAAGAAGAAAAAAAATAAAATGGTGGCACGCCGCCTGAGTCCCCAGTAATGAATGGACGTCGTCCCGGAGAGCTAACAGCCGGCTATCGTGCCGTAAAAGGAGTTATATTAGGCCTAACGAATGAGATCGTGGTTGGAGGGGGGAGGCTAAGCAGGAGGGGATGGACAAAGGAACTCGAAACACAAACGCCATTGGGGACGGCTCCTTGCCATGTCAACAAGTGTGTCCAACCAAACGTGTTCATCGTCCTTAGGACCCCAGCCAGGCAGTCGGAATGCACCAACCGACGCCAGCTTCGAAGTCAAGGTTTTCATTTCTCTCTACCAAATCACCGCTTGGCCTCTCCTCCTCTTCCAACCGCACTCCCGGCGCGCAGACGATGCACGTCGCTGGAGTCGGTGTTTTGGCACGCACACTACGTGGCCCAGCCATCGGAGCCTGGTGCGTGATATAATGGTACTGAGCGATTCACTCGCTCTTCTTGCACTAAATACGCGACGCCGAACACGTTCATTGCTCACGCAGTGCTCCCATCAGACATGAGCTAAACTGCGAAGGCAGCGATGATCGAATGTGACGAGCCTCTTTGTGTCTGTCAACCTGATGGGCCATGTTTCACTACCGTGCAGGAGGGTTGAACGGACGGCTGCGTTATAAACTCTGGACTTCAGGGCAATTTTGAATTGCGTCTGAGAGTTACACACATCCACCGAAAAATTCCTCAGCAGTTCTATCTTGGGAATTTGAGATATGTTCGAAAAATAGGTGGTTCTGACCTACAAAGCAACTTCCCCTGCGCGAGGGTTTGAAGTTCGATTTGACCGTAGTCGGATATAGCCGGTAGACATACTTTACTGTCCAGGATGTCGGAGAACAGCCAAGTCTTAGTGAAAGCACGTACGACTTTCCGGGAACCTTGTACACGGGTGCCAATCTAGCGCATCTTGTTCCTCAGGCTTCACATGTTCCTGAGAATTATTTTAAGAAAACAGACTGGAAGGGCGGAATTGAAGTTGCAGCTCACCGCCTGAAAACCCGTTATCCGAAGACCCTTTTTACCCGCCTCGTGACGGCCTTTATGTCCTTGATGGCGTCTTTTAATTTAAATCTATCAACCAAACGGAGGTCAGGTTGAATACTGACCCCAGCGTTATACGCGCATAGCTATGGCAGAGTAAGGGCTTACGGAGAGCTGTCGCTGCTTTTCGATATCTTTAGTGGTGTGAGACAAGAATGCCCGCAGTCACCTTTCCTCTTCAACTTCGCCATTGACGAGGTCTTAGAGATCGCGTTCATTGGACACGACTTAAGTGTAGAGCTTCTCCTAGGTGAACGACTTCTTGACTTGGAATGTGCTGACGATATTGCCCTAATTTGTGACAACTCTCAGACGTTCTAAGCGATACTGGACAGATTAGCACTGGCTGTCAGCCGTTTCTTGCTAGGTTCTGCATCCTCGAAGTTCAAGATTTTCTCCAAGGTTTGCAGGTACCGTCTCCTGCGCTGACCGTTGGTGGGGATCAGCTTGAAGTCGTTCAAAAATGCAACTATTTAGGAAGTTGTATCTGCGTCCTGCCACATCCTCGGACCTAAACTCCTGATCCATATGGCGAGAACGTTCGCTCAAGACGGCACGGTGTTGCGAACTCGATAACGGAGGGGGAAGACCAAGACTACGGGGTTGAACAAACGTGGAATAAATTGATTAAACGGTGGTGCGGTAATAGGTGATTTATCAGGTTCAGCCGTCAGCACCTCGACCGATGAGAGCAGTTCGAGAGAGTGAGAGTGGAGAGAGCGAGCGAAGAATTATGGGGACATGGTTCCATAGGTTGCCCAGGCCGTGAAAGTGGGATGACTTAGGCGATCCCACCCGGAGCCTTAGACCATAAAAAGCCTAACCCACAAGGCAGCGGGGCGATTGACCTATACAGCGACCATTGGGAGCCGACTATGTAGATGGGGATAAAACAGCTTTTGAGTAGAGGCAAACTACTCAGGGCGCCCAAAGAGCCTCAGTAAAGCAGCAAGGAGGCCTTTATTCCCTGGACTCCTGAACTCGCCGCGAAGCTCGTAGGCGGTTAACTGTCGGGTGGCTCATACGCCTTCATAGAAGCCGGTGGCCGTCGAGGTTGTTCATCCGCCCTCGGTTGAGAACACTTCTGTGACCAGAAGTGAGTGGTCAGTGACCCTATAGCCGGTCACATTGGCTTTGACACAGCGTCTTACGTGCTCTTATGGTATTTAATGCGAAACCAGATGACCGCCCCAGAGCACCCCACGCTCTAGGACGCTGTCACTGATTGTCCGCGATTGGTTATTCATCTCGTCTGCGAACAGCCGAGACTTATTCACAGTTACATTCACAAGGAAGGCGTTACCCGTTCCACAACCTGGGGACCCGCCTGGTGGAGTACAGCTCCGCAGAACCAATCAGTAGTCAGTCTGGCAGCTGGCTCCCAGAAAGTTATAGTGGCGGAGCTGTACGCTATCAGGCGCGTCCCTAGGTTGCGGACTGGGGAATGCCTTCCTTGTGGAGGTAACTGCAAAGCAGACGAGATGAATAAGCAGTCATGGACAATCAGCGGCAACGTCTCAGAGCGTGGAGAGTTCTGAGCTGGTTACCTGAGTCCGTATCAAATACCACAAGAGCTCGTACGGCGCTGTGTCAAAGCCAATTTGACCGGCTATAGGGTCACTGACCACTCACTTCTATAACTGGTGAATATTTAACGAAGGGCGGATGAACAACCTTGCTGGCCACCGGCTTCTGCGTGGACTACAACCGAATGCAAAGAAGTCGAATTAGGCATCTGGCTGTCAACAGTCTTCGTATTTGCCTCGCTGCGTTGCGGGTCAGGTCTTTAAGACCATAGGCTCATGAAGGGGTCCTGGGCAACCGGAAAGCTCTCTGCCAACACAGCACAGGGGTTTTCGCATCCCTTCCCCTCACTCACCTTCTCTTTTTGTTGTTGTTACTCATGTGTCGTGACACAGCAAAATGGTTATTGCTTAAAAGTCAAATAGATAACAATTATATATATATATATATATATATATATCATTGTTGGTATATATATATATATATATATATATATATATATATATATGTATAGTCATGGTAAGCTGGTGTCCCAATGCCAGGGATGCCACGTGCTGCCTACATTTAGCATGCGGCTCGTAGTGGTACGTTGCGCAGATTGATGCGGTCGCTGATACGCTTTATCCTCTGGGAATTGTTCAGTACAAGAATCACTAAGCAATAAGATTGGGCACAATACGAACGACAGTGTGCCACCCGATAAGCAACGAACAGGTCGAACTAACGAACTCGTCATTCAATCCACTCTTGGGCGCACTTATCGATTAATCTTTTGACATGTTGAATGCCCTGCTACCCATATATCTTTTCGCATATGGTGCTTCTGCGCACCTATACATCAGAACGCCATTCTCCGAGGGGCTATCTGACGACAGCTGCAGTCGTCGGTGTTATAGTGCATCGGTGAAGTTATCGATTTGCTCCATGGTCTTTACATGGGCACTTGATGGACGTACACAAATGGTAGAGGGCACTCGATGTAACTTTATAAGCGAACGATCGGTCGTATTTGCACCGAATGGCAACTACGAGTGTGTCAACTAATTCACACTGCAGATAGACTGGTCTCTACATCTTACAACAGGCAGTATTTCGCAAGCCGTAAATGAGCAAGAAGCTCCGTCATGTCAATGGTTAACCCTCGGTTCTACCGCTCAATCGCCTTAAACTATTTCAGGTAGGCACCGACCTAATAATTGGAGAGAGTCCGACAATTGCAGTACCAAAAGCGGATGCAGCATTGGAAGCAACGCCATGTGAATGCTGTCCTGTCCCCGGGTCATTTGCTTAGCTAGAGAGGGTCGGGCTTGAAAAATGAAACTTGCACCCTTTTTGACTTTCAATGGCTAAGTTGGTAGCCTTTTCCATTTACGTTTCAGCTGTTCATTTCTGTTCGCTTAATGAAGGGATGGATATTATCCAGAAATTTACCGGGCTCTCGGATGAAGAAATTGACTCACTTACACCACGCGTGAAAGAGGAGATTGCTATTGTCCTTGACAGTCTCTCCCAGGACACTTTGTCACTGAAGCATGAAATCGATACTTTGAAATCCGACTCCGGTAATGTTTTTATTTTACTCATCCAACCACGTAGAGCGCTCTCAGCGACTGAATTTAGACAGGATCAATGAACTGGAAAATGAAGTTACCACCTTAAAAGATAAAATATCTGGTTACGACGAGGCTGCCGCCGCATCTAGCGCTAATTTTCGACTCGCTCGCACCGAATGCGATAACCTGATGCAAAAGTTTAGCGAGCTACAGACGCTAAACAACGAGCTATCGTTTGCCATTCGAAATCTTGAGAATGAAAAGGAGTTATTAACCGATCAGCTGAAGCAAAAGATTTCTCTGACTGATGAGTTGTCGGAGGAGATAGTGCAGCTTAAGTCTGATGCTGATTCAGTCCGCAAGATGAAAATGGATGCCATGTTGAAGATGGAAGAAATCGAAAGTCGCGAAGTATCGCTACAGGTTAGCTGGAGTACTTTTTACTAATCTGCTAAGGCCCAAGAGTCTCGATGGTCAGAGGAGTCTGCCTCCATGCAGCGGCACCTTAGTTGGCTCGAAGACCGCTTGCGTCAGACCACCGACCAGTTGCTTACTGTTAGACGGGATACGGTAATGTGCTTTATTTTTCGTGAGGCTAGTTTCTAGACTCAAAAGTGTTACACACTTGAAAATGAACTGGAATTACGTAAATCGGAGGTAAGTTTGTCAGCTTTCTTCTAAACCTGAACACAGCTCGAACACTCCAAAACTACAATAGAGAGCCTTGAACAAAGCGTTAAGAAGCTAACTGAAGCTAATGAAGATTATATACAGAAAATCAAACAGGTATTGGTCCCCAGGCCGCTTATGTCCATAGGTTTCAGATGAACAAATAAAGTTGGAGCAATTGTACGGAAATGAGCTAGAGGCTCAGAAGCAACTAGTCGGACTTTACAAGGTAATAAAATATTTCCATCTCACGTTTCCTTCAGGTTCAACTAAGCGAAGCTGAAGAGAAGAACAGCGAACTGGCAAATGCAGCTAGCTCGATGCAGGCTATGCTGAAGTCTGCTTTCGAAAGTAAGTTTTGATATTTTCGCTCCTTATTTTTCAGACGTCAGTCGCTTAGAATCTGAACGGAGCGCTTTGAAAATTCGGTTTGCGGAAGAACGGAACAGGCTTCAAGAATCCGTTCAAAAGTTGTCCACTGAGTTGGAGGGAAGCCGTCAGCTCTTGGATAAATTCCGGGTCGATGGTATGTTGCTTCTGACTGATCTCTGTTCGGGTTTCTGCAGAGTTCAAATCAAGTTAGACCAGTTATGAGTGAAGGGATTTGGTAAAATCTATCAAGTTCACTACAATCGGACTACAAGCTCTCTAAGTTAACTGCCAATCCGGAATAGTACCCGATGATCGTTTCACCCTATTGAGACTCACCAGTGGGTGGGTATTCACTCGACCCCTTTCGGGGAGTCAAACCTTCAAACGCTAGTAGCTTGCAACACTAATCAGCAGCATGGACTTAAATCTAACTTCGGTATAGCTCGACCTATCTTCCACTGACATGCAGGTTACTGCCCATGCAGAGGACAATGGTTGGCTGTCAGGTGTTAGGACGTCCTTCGCCCTTAGTTTTGTATTTACGCAGCCTTTTGAAGACTGGTACCAGAAGTATAACCAAGCGAATTTTGCATTGAAATCTTTCATTATCTGTGATGCATCAAGCAATACGACATCTAGGCCTTATCTGTATGCTGCTTCCAAGAATGCGCTATCAAACTCGGGTTGTGTTTCAGGCTCCAGTCACTACAACGTTATACATTTGCAGGCTCTGTACCACACGAAACCTGAAGAACCGCAATGTTGATGCTATGGGGCCGTGATTGCGCCAATTGCAGCAAAGTATTCGCTAGGCGGTCCCTAATGAACCGGCCTTTCGTGAAAGCACTTTATCCATAACTCTTAGACATAATTCCGTTATTAAACACCGCATAATCAGTAACAGCAGAGACCTTTAGTGTATGAGCTTCACTGTATCCCACGCTCGATAGTAGCAGGCACATTTCAACGGTGCTTTGTCTTACGCATATTTCAAAAAAACAACACATTTATTCGAAGGGACGCAGGTTTGGTGCAAGCTCAGCATGGCGACTTCGCATGCCTTATCTTGGTTGAAGGTCTCAGTGACTTGAGATTAGGATATCCTTGGATGAAGCGTTTTCCGTTAGCGTGCTGCTCCCTGAAACAAAACTGAATAATGAGCAATCAACTACAGTTTCTATATATATATATATATATATATATATATATATATATATATATATATATATATATATGCCCGTTGATGAAACGTGGCTCCCATCCGCATGCCTCCTGGGTCTTATTCCTTCGGGTTTACACTGGATATGGGGTGTTTGGTTGGAGCTGTGCGTGGTGCAGCGCAAGCCATCCATGGTCTCTCTGTAGGCGCAGGCGTCCTGTGGCTGACCACAGTGACAGGCAAATCCGAAACCGGATGCCGCCAACCATGTATGTATGTGTGCCCCTTGCTGAGGCTGATGTTGCATTCATGATGCTTCTTCACTGCAGTTGGGCTAAACCAACTTACACTTAAACTAGGTCTTTTTAAGCTGGATAAATTTCATTCCACTTTATTTGGTTTGTTCTGCCTACCTGAATAATGTTCTATTAACTGGCCACGTTGCTTGCGCTAATTTTGCTTACCTTCGATAATTTTGTTGTGTTTGTAGCGTTTTGATTAACTTGTGGACATTTCTTACTTACCGTGGATTCGTTGCTAACCAACTTACTTCATATGGTAATTTAGCGAAGAGTTATGCCACCGTATCTGTATGCATTATTGGATTTATTTTATTTCAGCTTGTCGTTTAAAGTGAATGGCTGTTGCTTGATATCCCCGGTGTGGCTGCGCTTGATGTGCATGTTGACAAGGTGCCTACCTGTCTATTACCCACTACCTCGTTCATACTGGCTCCAAGAGACAGTTGGTCGTTGCTGGAGGGGACGGGGTGCACGGTCCTTGTGGCCGTGCTAGGCTCAAAGAGTGGTTCCATGCACTCAGTATGGAGTGGACTACGGTCCAGCCACCGCCTTGTGTGCGGTTGATTCCCCAAATACAGCGTGCTTGTGTTTGCCTGTGAAGGAGTGTGGGCCGACTCCATTGATGAAACGTGGCTCCCATCCGCATGCCTCCCGGTCTTATTCCTTCGGGCTTACACTGGATATGGGGTGTTTGGTTGGAGCTGTGCGTGGTGCAGCGCAAGCCGCCCATGGTCCCTCTGTAGGCGCAGGCGTCCTGTGGCTGGCCACAGTGACATGGAAATCCGAAACCGGATGCCGCCAACCATATATATATATATATATGAACTGCTGGGTGATTTCAGCGTGGGCGTGGGGCGTGATGCATCAGTGTGGACAGATGTTATCGGTCTGCATGACATTGGTTCAGCGAATGCGAACGGTGACAGGCTGCTCTCACTGTGTGGCACTCACGGCCTGACGATCACGAACACTCGGTTTGCACTGAGTGCGAGTAATATAGCAACTTGGACACACCCACGGAGCTGTCACGCTCACCTGCTCGACTATGTAATTGTACGTCAGCGTGATATGCGTGAAGTGCGCATGACACGTGCACTGCGTGGATCTGAGTATGGCACTGATCACAAATTGGTGCGGACCAAACTGTACATATATTTTCGTAAATCGATGTATTGCACTCCCGCCGTGAATCGGCGTACATTTAGCATTCTGTCCCTCGGTACTGTGGCGAAACGTCCTACGCTGGAGAAGGCGATGGTTGCACGCCTGTGTAATGTGGACTGCATAATCGCAGTGGGCGACCTGTGGCACCACATTCGCGACCAGGTGACAGCTGCTGCCGAGGAGACCATCGGGCGCGCAAACTGTAAGCGGCCTGATTGGCTTGATGAGAACAATGTGACGGTTAGTGCATTGGTGTCGGAGAAGTATGCAGCATTTGCTGTACATGATGCAGACCCCTATGACTTGGAGAAGAAGAGTTAATTTCGGAAACTTCGACGGCGGCTGACCCGAGAGCTCCGTCGCTTAAAAATGTATGGTGGACGGAGAAGGCGAAGCAGATAGAATACTAAGCCGAACGGCGCCAACACAAGGAATTTTTCGACTCCTTGAAGGTGCTGTATGGACCGAGGTTGAAGCCGCTGAGGACGCTAATCGATGGTAGTTGAGTCGCTACCCGCCCACTGACTGCAGACATAATGCAGATCTGGCGGAAACACTTTGACTGTATTTTGAACAACCGTTCAGAGATTGACTGGTTTACATAGAATGGCCTGAAGTATCACGATGTGAAGATGAGTCTGGCGGACACGCCGACACTGGATGCGATGCAGAGAGGACTTACTCAGCTGCGAAACGGCAAGTGTGCCGGGGTCGACAGGATCCCGCCTAAAGTATGGAAACGCGGCGAACCCGCGTTGGTGACTGCGCTGCACCACTTGGTGCAATGCTTGTGAATTGAGGTCGAGGTACCTCCTGAGCTGAAGGATGCCCTTGTGCTACCACTTTACAAGGACAAAGGGAGCAAGCAATGTTGCACGAATTATCGTAGCATCCACTTGCTGAGTTGTGTGGGCGAGTTGATTGCCGGAATCCTGCTCAACCGCCTCGTCAATCAGGTTGTGGAACCTAACGTGGCGGAAGAGCAATGTGGATTCCGTTCAGGTCGCAGCACTATAGATATGGTGTTTGCGGCTCGTCAGTTGCAGGAGAAGTGCAGAGAACGACACCAGCCATTGTACTCGCTTTTTGTTGATTTCACCAAGGCATTTGATACGGGGAACCACTAGGCATTGTGGCTGGTGTTGGGTAAGTTTGGTTCTCCGAGTAAGTTTGTAACTTTACTTGAATGTCTGCACAGCGGTATACGGGCGAGGATGCAGCTGGGTGGAGAGACCTCGGATGACTGCAGTTATTTCTGGTATGATGCAAGGCTGTGTCTTAGCTCCTGCCCTGTTTAATATTTATCTTCATGCGTTGGTGTCTTGTGCTTTTGATGCGGCTTGTGCTTACCGCATTCGTGTGAAGCACCATATTGATGGTTGATTGCTGAATATCCGTCCTTTCGGTGCGAGAACTTTAGTCTGTGAGACAACTATCCGTATGTTGTTTGCTGACAACTGTGCGTTGTTTGCACAAGGCGCGAATGAGTTGTAGCATATGACTAGTACTCTGGCTTCGACAGCGGCCAAATTCGGGCTCACCATCAACACAAGCAAGGCTGTCTGTCTCTTCCAGCCTTCACTAGAGGTGCCAGCTACAATATTGCCATAAATCAGCATTAGTGATGACCATTAGTGATGATGACCTCCCGCTTCTGCTACCTTGGGAGTGTGGTGTCAACTGATTAGCAGATGCGCAGTGAGCTACGTATCCGCCTATCGAAGGTAGCTTCAGCATTCCGGAAGCTTGAGTACCGAGTGTGGAACAACCATCGGCTTACCGTTGACTCGAAGCTGATGCTGTACAAATCAATGGTGCTGTCCGTTCTTCTATACGGCAGTAAAACGTGGACGATGTACCGGCGGGATGTGCGATATCTCGCGCGGTTCCATCAGCAGTATTTGCGACGGATTCTGCGCATTGATTACTGCGACAGAGTTGCTGACACAGAACTGTTGCGCCGAAGTGGATTGTATGCAGTGGACTGCATACTTTTTCTGAGACACCTGAGGTCGCTCGGTCATGTGGGGCGTATGGATTCTACGCGGATACCAAAGCAGCTATTATATGGTCAGTTGAGGTTTGGGAAGCGGCATGTGGGGAAATCGAAGGTTCGTTACCAGAACATGATCAAAGTGAGTCTCTCACGTTCTAATCTTGATTGCAGGTCATGAAAATCGATGGCGTTTGATCGGCATGCATGGCGCGATCTAATCACGAAGGCGGTTGTCGAAGTGCGAGCGAAAGATCTCATACATGCATGATCGGCGTGCATGGCTTGATCGCTGTTGCCGAGGTGCAAGAGAATTCCCTCATGCATGTAAAGAAGAAGCGGCATTTGCGGAAGCGACAAGCGCCGATGGGTTGTACTCCATCGTCATCGAGCGCATGGTACTGTAGCACATGCGGTCGCAGGCCTAATGAGCCATGAGCGAGGTCACTCGGGGCCAACACTGAAACAATGACAAGTCCTGCTAAGAACTAGGCAGAACCGGCGCATCGTTTGTAGGTATACTGCATTCGATTTACTAACCGCGTGCTTGCATGCTAACTCACTTTATTTCAGGTGGTGAGTTTTCTATATTGTCCCAATGCTTTTCTTTCTCATTTAACTGTCTACCAGTACTCTCTTCTATAAACTTGCACACGTCGCTGAAGCTAATTTTAGTTAAATCCGATAACATTTTCGCGTTTGTGGCATTTTCTTAAACTATATTTTCTGACGTCTTGAACCTTTCGCGCAGTTTTTTGCAACCGATTTTTTTCCACACGCTCATTTAATGAAGTTATGTCACCGTATCTATGTGCATTCGATTCATTTTATTTCTTCTTGTGGTTTCAAGTGATTGGCTGTTGCTTGATATCTCCGGTTTGGCTGCGCTTGATGTGCATGTTGACAAGGTGCCTACCTGTGTGTTACCCACTACCTCGTCCATACTGGCTCTAGGAGATAGTTGGTCGTCGCTGGAGGGGATGGGGTGCATGGTCCTTGTGGCCATGTTAGGCTCGAAGAGTGGTTCCATGCACTCAGTGTGGATTGGACGACGGTCCAGCCACCGCCTTGTGTGCGGTTGATTCCCCAACTACAGCGTGCTTGTGTTTGCCTGTGAAGGAGTGTGGGCCGACTCCATTGATGAAACGTGGCTCTCATCCACATGCCTCCCGGTCTTATTCCTTCGGGTTTACACTGGATATGGAGTGTGTGGATGGAGCTGTCGGTGGTGCAGCGCAAGCCACCTATTGTCCCTCTGTAGGCGCAGGCGTCCTGTGGCTGGCCACAGTGACAGGCAAATCCGAAACCGGTTACCGCCAACCATGTTTGGCGGTCGCGAGTGCCTGTGTCAGGCAGGCCTAGTGAACCATGAGCGAAGCCACTCGGGACCACTACCGAAGCGACGATGGGTCCTGCAGAGAAGTATTCGGAACCGGCACAGCGTTTGTAGGTACGCTGCATTCGATTCGATTTACTAACCGCGTGCTTGCATGCTAACTCTCTTTATTTCAAGTGGTGGGTTTTCTATTTTGTCCTAATGCTTTTCTTTCTCATATAAATGTCTACCTGTACTCTATTCCATTAACTTGCACACCTCGCTTAAGCCAATTGTATTCGATTTCCATAACATTTTTGTGTTTGTGGCATTTCCGTAAAGTATACTTTCTGACCTCGTGAACTTATCTAGGATTCGTTTGTAAACAACTTATTTCATATGCTCATTAACTTAAGGTTTATGTCACCGTTTCCTTATGCATTACTCGAATTATTTTCCTTGTATCTCTCTCTCAAATGATTGGCTGTTGTTTGATATCCCCGGTGTGGCTGCGCTTGATGTGCATGTTGACAAGGTACCTACCTGTCTATTATCCACTACCTCGTCCATACTGGCTCCAGGAGACAGTTGGTCGTTGCTGGAGGGGACGGGGTGCACGGTCCTTGTGGCCGTTGGTCGTTGATGTGCGAAGGGTTCAAAGGAAATCTTCGGCTTGGAGGACTGACCTCCATGTAGTGAGGAATGTCATCCGGATAATCGAGGTGCTCTGATTATTCAGTGGCGAGTCGCATCCGCCACCTTGCAGTGTTAGTAAACAAACCTTTACTTCTTTTTATAGGCTAGCGCTTGTCTGGCGGTACCCCACCACTTCCCAGAATGCCGCCGAAGCATTCTTTGGAACGGTATTAACCCTCGTGATGGTTGTTCGGCGAGCCATTCTGATTATCTAGCCTGACCTCACCATCATCATCTGTCTACACATTATCTAGGAATGAGTAGAACCCTAGCTATTGCGCCTCCGTACAATATAATCAGGCAGCAGTAAAAAGAAGAGGCAACAGCAAAACGAATAGTTCATTATACTTTGTTTATATTACGCAATAACAACGAGATCGCGGTTAGCGGGGGAAGCTATGCGGGATGAAGAAACCCCGAAACACGGACGCCATTGTAGTTGGTTCTTTGCCATACTGATTAGTGTATCCACCTTAAACGAGCGCATCGTCTTTCAGATCCCAACCTAGGAGTTGAACTACACTAACCGAGACCAACTTCGAAGCGAGGAATTTCATTCTTTTTGAACACGTCTTCGGTTGGCTTTCTATCCTCTTCCATCCACTCTCCGGTTACGCAAACAACGTACCTCGCTCCAGTCGCTGTGCTAGCATGCGGAACACGTGGCCCAATCAGCGGAGCCTGGTGCGTGAAATGACGGTGCTGGGCGGCCCACTCGCTATTCCTGCACCAAATACGCTACGCCGAACATGCTCGTCACTCACGCGGTGTTCCGACCAGACATGAGCTAAACAGAGAATGCAGCGATGATCGAACGATACAATTCTCTCCCCGTCTGCCCATCTGCTAGGCTAGCTATTGCAACCGCACTGGATGGTTGAACTCAAGTCTGTATTGTAAACTCGGCCCTTCAGGACGGAGATTGACAAGAGCATATCGAGCTTTTGCTACACGGTTTTTGACTTCATCTTCTATTCCAGCGGCGCCAATATAGATCCCTAGATACTTGAAATTCCCCACGACTTCTAGCTGTGCATTAGTAATTGCTTAACTTGTAGAGGGCTACAGTAAGATCATGTAGTCTCAATCGAACCTTATCATGTCTCCTGCTGCCCCTTTTCGCTTATCAGATGGAATAATTTACGATGGTTACCATGAGTAGCGACTGTTTTCATCTCTGTTGCAAGATGAGACCACAAGGCTTCGCGATCCCTCTTCAGGCTACCACAGTTTTGCACTAAGACCTTTGTGGGTCTCGTGTTCTCTCCCTGCCGGAATGTGTCAGTTAGTATCCAGAAGTTTCATATATTACCTAGAGACCCATTGTCCGGATTGGTAATCAGATCTGACACATTAAGACAGACTTGCCGCTAATATGGTCTGACGAACATGTGAACAGTGAGCTTTGACGTTTTTCACTGAGCGCGTACATAGCCCTGATGCCAGCGTAGTTTGATACGTATTCCGAATACGTGGCTTCATCATTTGGCCCACGTCTATGCGCTCACAGCATTATCGCGGGCTTCCACCGGAACGCACCCACAGATAAGTGCATACCAATGTTTCAAATCTGTCTTTATAGCTGAATTATGGGCTATCTGTTTAAATTCCGTTCAGGTCTTTCCGAACAGGAGTTACGTCAAATGAACCCCGCAGTTGCTGCCACTTTGAGCGCTTTGAAGCGTGGCCATAGTCTTACGCAATTGTACTCCGATTACATCCAGATAGTGGAGGACCGTGACCAGCTGCGGTTGGACAAACAAAGGCTGACGGAATATGTCAAACAGTTAGTCGATGATTTGAAAGAAAAGGGTGAGTGCTCTTTTTTGTAATGTTTCTATCAACGAGCAAATGAATTCCCATTGCTTTCCTCTATATGCTTAACTTCACGTTTGGATTATATTCTGTAGGCGCAATCAGTCTTAACCGCATGTCCTCTCGTCTCTGTGGTGCCGGTACCATTGACATATTTCTTAGTATCCTAACCTCTTGTTCCGACAGTTTGAGCTTCTCACACCTGTGACATGCGTGAAGAACGTCACGAAATTGTATGTGGCCGCAAAACTACTGATCTTACTGCTAGTTTACTTAAGGACTCAGTGTGTTCCCTGTGATCCTCTAGCTCCGCTTACAAGTCTCATTTGTATTTTAATGGCATTTCTGGTTCGCGTTGTGTATCCGTAATTCAATCAAAGAAAGCCTTCCGCTCATCACCGTTCGCTTGGATTTTACGAGTTAAACCGCTTATTTAAGCCAGTTCAATTTTTCGTTGCTTTTGCACCCTGAATCGTCAAGTATCATGTCTTTTGGTCGCGTTCGGTGTCACCTTTTGAACATTCACTTTACACTTTGCCACATTAAATCATGGGTTTCTGCCACGTTGTACCACTATTTTCGTAACTGTTTATATGCTCAATACACCTGCCTCGATCGTTTGTATGACCTTTGTTTTTTTTTTCTAAATTATCATTTTGGTGCTTTCTTGTCCCCGAACTACTTACTGTTTTTTGCCCTAACGGCGTAGATGACTCTACACCTAACGTTCGCTTTTCGACTTCTCCACTCTTGATGTTTCGCTTCTGTCCGTGACTGACTGACCAGTCACAGGACACCTCGAAAACTTATTCAGTAGCCTTCGCTATTGTTTTTGCTTTCTATGATTGATCAGTAACGCTTTATCACAACCCATCCTAGAGAAGTATCAGTGTTCGTAATATATCTATCTTTGAGTATTTTCTTGCAGCTGGGGGCGCAGCGAGTTTTTGATCTGTCCCTTCCCCGCGTGTGCCGTTCATCTGTTATCAGCTCCCATTCTCCGTGATCAACAAGAAAACTACAGTCGGCTTAAAGCGCAAGTGAGCGAATTGTCTGCCAACTTGCAGTCAGCCAACGAGAAACTCGAACAAGCTCAATCTCAGCGACAAGATATGCAGCGCAGAGCTGGCTTTTATCAGCGTGAAGCACTGCGGCTGAAGCAAACGTGTGCTGATCTGTCTAAACAAGTATGCATCTGTAGTGTGTAGCATTTAGCTGTGTTGCTTTTCTTCGCGATTCACATATTGATGTTTCCTCTAAGTAAATTATTATAGGCGATGTCGACAACTCCAAATGGATCCTCTTTGGCTGAGACGCTTAAAAAGCAACCTCTTCTGCAACATCATTAACTGACGAATTTACGCAGACTACATTGCACTTGATTTGGGGAAGACTGCAGTTTATCCCACACGACATGATGGCTACTTGCTACTCTTAAAGCTTGCAAACCTTAAAACTTCATCGAATTTCTTGGTGTGACACACCGATCTGTGAAACAAACTACCCCAACAGATACACATGAGTGCAAACCATGTCACATTTCCAAATTCCGTACAGACTTTCCTTACTATATCAAATGTGTTGACGACCTTTGGTACACAACAAACTCTAAAAATACTGAACTGAAATCGACTCATTGGGTCAAGTTACATAGTTAATTAACGGATCAGTGAGGGAGGCTAAAAGTTGACCATTGATCTGACGGGTCGATTGCATGTTATCGAGCTTGATCTGTGGCAATCGACCTCAGTATCGTTTGTTCTAGCTGGCCAGGGAAGCTGTAAGGCATGGAGCAACTTCTTTTGCGAGCGTAATGAAGGTTGAAACAACCGAATACAAATCGATTCAGCTGTCGCGAGCGCACGGAGGCGCCAACCTCTTGATTGATGATGGGGACCCTGTAAATTATCCTGAAGGCACGCTTTAGATCGACTTGGTGCCCCGTGTCGACAATATGGGCCAAAACGGCGCTGCTAATGGCCCCAGTTCCTCCTTGACGCAACCAGCGCGGGCAGTGCTTCTTCACGCGTTTGGACAAATGCCGTGCACGGCACTCACTGATGCCACCATTTCACTTTGAAAGATATGATCTACCTTTCTGTTGTTGTCCTCCAGTTTCCTTTGCGATCGAATAGCATACTCCCTCTGATGAGGCGACGTGTGCGGGCTAACCGCATTGACTTCCATCATCGTCAGTCGGAGTCACGTTTCATCAGAGCAGTGTGTTTCAACCTGCGAGTACTCTGTTAGCCTTTTCATGCAACAATTTAGAACACGCGACCGTGATGATTAGACCACTTTTCACACGTTCCAATGTACGGGATCTCAAGCTGTTATTCGAAACCGGTTACGCCGTATGTTCCTTAAAATTCCACGTTTTCTGGCGAGCAACACCTAATTTCCATCTGCTCCACATACTATACTTCAGGATGCAGCGCTAGCCCGAGTATCCCATCTGCCACTTTGATTGGTTGCGGATTGCGAGGAAAGTAGCATCATTTTAGGCCCAACACTGTCCTCTGCGACCTCCTACTGTACATTTTTATTGAAAGTTAGCCGCCTCATACCACAGCTAATACTCAATCTTGGTGGTTCGCGGTCGCCATACATAGTCTATTGAGAACTCCTTGACTTCCAAACACGCAGGTCTTAGGTTAGGCTTTCTGAAGATTCAGACACATACATGCTGCTGAGAGGTGCCAGTGGTACAAAACACCCATCCAGAACTTTTTTCGATTATGTCTTAGGCCGTCTTATAACTGGCCACGACGAATTTCCCCTCAAATAACACCTAACATTCATGCTACTCTTCAACTAGCTATGGCCTCTTTACCCGAGTATTTGTTGGTTGAACCGTGCTCATCGTGCGACCAGCTAGATGAGGTGTTATATAGATTAAATAGAACCATTCTATGAAATAGGATGCCAAGCCCGTTCATGTTGTGTAATTGACATTCCTCATAAATGGGCGTGCTCAGACATTCTTCCTTTTCATATGGGACTCGGTGTCAGTGTGCATACTCCCTGTCCTTTGAGCACCCCCCAGAATGCAACGCTATTTTCCCATTCACCAGTTGAAACGATTCTGCCATACTTGGTGCCAAGGACCCAAATCACTCAGTGAAGAAACCCACGGTTTTTGCCAGAAGTGTGCAGCCTCACCCTTTCGCACATGGGACACAGACGCGGCAGTTGAGGGAATCGGTGACCTAGTATGGAATGGCGCTGCTCTTTCCTTTTCACCGATGTGATCTGCATGGTAGTGAGGAATTGAGTACGCTGTTACCTCCGATTACTTGATCGCATCAGCTGCGTCGGCATCCGCTGTGGCCCATAAGTTGTCATCCACTATTTGTAGAAGTTGTGTGGATACTTTGCTGCACGCACTCGACTGACCAATCTTGCGTTAGCTTTAAAGACCTTTTCGAGACGGCCGGTACTTCATGCATCCTCCAAATGCGCCGTTCAATGTTGCGAGGACAACTCGGCCATTTTTCGTTTTCATCTGGTTGTTCTAAGTTCTTTTCAAGCTGGCGCGATATTTTGTCTATTCACACCTGATTTTAGTGACACGACCAGCCTTTTCTTTTCTTTCCAGTCTGATTTTCCTCACGTCTCATTTCACTCTAACTCCACCTCGGGATTTTTGTTTTAGTGTATTTCTCGTAGTCTCCACTTACCGAGACCCCTTGTTTTTAGGGCGTTGCAACACTATAACCCACGGGTCTTGGCACCAGCCCACAGCATACAGAGGGGCTGTTCAGTTGGTCAAATCGGTTGCCTGCTTGTCTCTCGTTGCAATCCTTCTTGTCGGTGCTTGCAATCAAAGTGGTGTTTCCTTGCTGTATATCCAGTCTTTATTCTCAGCAGCACAAAACACCTTCAACTTGCCATAGCACTTTTGTTTACATTTTCTTCTTTTTATTTTGATCGGATGAGTGTCACTGATATCCAACCATCTTTCCAAACACAGGTCCAACTTTTATTGCGGGAAGTTGAAGTAGACAGAGGTACTGTGGTCGAAGAGCCCACGACCAGTGATTCCCCCACATCAACGGTCTCACTGGATCCATTTTCAAAATCCACTTACTCATCTCATCTGCCCGATAGCAGCACGATGACCTCCACGGACATTGCTCAACTGTTAGACGACATAGCTTCATCTGCTGCGTCTGTGATCGACGAACATCTGGTCACCTGGAAGAATCTTCGTGAATTGCAGTCTCAGAATCAACGGCTTTTATGTGTTGCACGTGACTTGGCAGCCCAACTTGAAAAGCGTGAGCAAGATGAAGCCGAGCGCTCCAAAGTCGTTTCGGATTTGTCAACACGACTTGAAACATTAACCGGTGAGCTGGACGTTGTCCGTTTGGCTTCCCGCGAGGCTCGCTCGGAAGTGAAGATTGTTACGCGCCAACGCGATATGTACCGTTCTATGTTGAAACGGTACGACATTCATGTGTCACCTGATCGGGATTCTGATGTCCCAGCTGAAACGTTGCGGGGGAATGGTGTCACTCCCGAAAAAGAAAGAGGTTGGTTTTCATGTCGTGCAAACTTGCTCAATGGTCTTTTCCCACTCTCTTATAGTGCCCTTTTTCTATCCTTTACTGATTTTTATCCATCCAGCTCCTTTGTTTGCTTTTCTCCGTCCTTCGTTTCTCACCTATGGCGATTTTCCGACTCATACAATTCACCAAATTGGTTACTGCACATGTTGATGGTGTTTTTAATGGTGGTGATAGTTGACAAATTTGCGATCACTCATATAAACGGCGAGACACTAGCTGGCATTCTATTTTTTGGTTCGCTCAGTCTTAGTATTCGCATCAAAGACATGGCAACTGCTGTCTGAAGATGCTGAAAGAACGCGTGGTTCGTTCCTCGGTGCCCGGGAGAATCGAACGAATCATACCGCTGTGCACCATCAATCTCATCCTCATCACCAACAATACAGCAGTACATAAGCAACATGAGCCGCTTTTGAACCGCATTACAGCCGCCTTAACCTAGGGAATGAGCAGTAGACCTGGTGTTAAATTCAGTGCCCTAATTTAACTTATAGGACAATGCTTTCTACGCCACCATCAACGACTAGCTAACGCACAAAGATAAGACGACATCAGCAAAAGAGCACCATTGTGATTTTCACTTCCTCGCGTCATAATCAGCCTTATACCACAGATGACTTTGCATTGCACGCACCTCAAACTGGTAGTACGACTAACGAATGATAACAGACGTGACCCTCGTACCGGATACAGACCGTGAACTGCACTATTTACGTCGGAGCACAGGCTGTGTCGCGTGAACTCCAGGCTGGAGGACTAGACGGTCCAACCTCCTCCAGTTTGGTCAGTAACCATTTTATGCCTCACCATCCGGTCAACGTTTGCTCCTCCAGGCCCTTCGTCATCAGACACCCGGCCGTCAATCAGGGCACTCCACAATAACTGGCGAATGCTGAATGCGGAGAATAGAGGACGAGAAGATAAACATCTGTGTTGCACCATCGTAGATTTATCACACACATGCGCGGAATCACGTCGCCTGTTTCTGCGCGATGGCAGCATACTGCAGCTGCACAACATCTCCGGGTACGATACGCACCCTATACCTGTAATCCGCAAAGTGGGTCTCAAATAATTTAGTTTAATTCCGACGACGATTTCACCTCTACTAGCGTCTCCGGCAACTTGTCCCAATGTTTCACCACTCGATACTCGAAGCATAAAGGGTGTTCGATGCACTTTAAATCCGGTAGCACTAGTTTGTACCAGTGTCCGCGTGTGCTGATTGCTGCTCGAACGTGCAGCAGCGGTCTCAACATAGGGAAGTGTCCTAAGTGCAGTATCCGGTGTGTCATAACGAGTTCCACTGGAAGCCGACGATATGACAAGGTATAAATCCCTAGTCTCCTATATCGGTCCTCGTATGACATACCCCGTAAACTGGGTATGAGCAGGATATCTACATGCTGGTCCCGTTCCAGTTTCTGCACCTCACCTATTGTGACGGGACAATAGGCGCGTGAGTATTACACAAGTTCCGGTGTTACCATGGAAGAGTACAGGTGAGTGGCAATCTCTTCAGACCACGTGCAGAAGCTACGTCTAAGTGCTCAAAGCAGGCGTAGTCTGTTTGCGTACAATTTGTTCGTGTTGTCGACGGACTTCAGATCACGGTGTGAGAGTACGCTTAGATCCTTTACGGAACTGGTGGGATGAAGCGATTTGCCGACCTTGGTGTATATACCCCCGTTGACATCCTTCCCTGGACTCATAAATGACGACTTGACCAGGTTGATTGGCAGAGCATCTTCTGCAGACCACAAGGACTGGCTGTCGAGATCCTGCTGAGGAACGTCACAGTCGTCGGGCGAATGAGTAAGGCTCCAAATCTTCAGGTTGTCTACAACCAATACGCTGGTCAACCGAAGATGCTGCGACGCTTCGTTGATGTGGATCGGGAACAAAATGGGCCCCTGTACTGCGCCTTGGGGTACGTTGCTAGTGGAGGAGTACCATTTCGTTATGTGGTCATACACCTGTACGCGCCATTTTCTCCAAATGAGGAAAGTCATTCATCCACCTCGATTTCACAGTGCCCGGCGAGACGTTGTGCCTCAGGCCACAATATTCGAGGGATGTTAGTGGCCCATAAGCAGGAAGCGGGGCCGTCTCATGTAGCTTCTGATATGCGGCAGCGAATCCAAACATCGACTTCGCGAGCTTCGATAAGCTGCAATCGCAAACACTTCACTCCATCTCAGGCGGATCGAGCACCATAGCTGCTCGTACTGGCCATTTTCGCTTCGGTTTGGTTTTACCAGTCTCCCGCACAGCGAGGACCGAATGTATAACAGCACGCCACCGCGCTCGTTTGATAGTCTGTCGCACCGGAAGCACGAGTAGGCACATACACTTAACATTTGCTCAAGCTAACGCAACTTATTCAGTGTTATTTGCTATTTTGCTGGGTAGTAGTCCTTCTTCCAGCGCCTCGCTGATCTGTGTGTTGGAATTTGGGTAACATGCACTCGCTGCGCCACGATTCATGCATTATCACCGAACCATATTCTACTGCACGTTATCCGCCGCCGCTCTTGTTGTGCGCAGTCTTTCGGTGGCCAAGCAATGAGTTGGCAGGGGCACATCAGGAAAACTTTCTACGACCAAGTCGGACCGGTGCCTATTGTTTCCCAAATGTTACGCTGGCAGTGCCCCCGATCTCATTTTTATCTCTTGCTGCTAGTTTTTCCATCTAATTATACCACCTTTTTGTTCTTTGACTATTTCTGGTTCCATTTCTCTTCCTTTTTCGCTTCTCCTTTTTGTTTCCTTTGTTTTTTACCACCTTGGTGACGTTAGAGCGGTTATGCCCATTTAAACGCGGCGCTTTTGTTGTATTTAGTTAGCTGAGCTGAACTCATGCATGCCTCTGGGTACTGCGTTACATCCCGCTTTTCACTAGATTTGCAAAGCGCGTGTAATGGCTACTCATTATCATCTACTCCTGGAATGTAAACATTCACATTTACAACCATCCGGTCGAGACGGCGGAGACAGGAAATATGTCTTATCTTCGTAGTTTTACCGTTGCGCTTCGACTTCAACGGTATCACCTTGCCTCCCTGCTCTATCTTTTGACACTTCACGGCCGCTCTCAGCTTACTCTATCCAATTTCCACGTAAGGATGGCTCAACGCGTACCTCCTTTGCTTTTCTTGCAGATTTTATTTTGTGCACACCGTTTCTTTTCGTTTTGTCTAGTTCATTTTTGCACTAAGCTCTCCTGTAGCTAGAGTTAGGAAGGCGACGACTTTCACAAAAGTTGCCTCTGTTTCCCTTACCATTTTTTATGCAGACAAGTTCGTTACAAACGCTCTAACATCGGCTACTGTAGAGCGCCTGGAGGAGACCTTGCATTCCCTTGAGGCTGAGTTCAAGCAATATCGTGAGGATAAGGCTGAATCTGATAAAGTCTACACCACCACCGTTGACCAGCTGCGCAAAGAAGGCACCGAGGCTCGTTTGTTGAATCAGAAACTTGCTGCACAGGTACTTGTTATGGCCTTTGTGTCCGTTTTATATTATTCTTGTGGTTGCTGCCTTAAGTGTGATCACATTCTCAATGATCTGCCATTCATTTTACACCCGTACGCATTTTTGCTACTTTCTATGCACGTTGTTTCTTTCAGGTGCGAGGCGTTTAAAGTTAGCAACAAAAACGCCACGTGTAGAGGCTGGCATATTTCTAACTTGTCAGTCTTTGAGCACCAACTCTCGAGCTTTACTGAACCGTTGACCAGAGAGTCAATCTATTTACGGTATAGTACCGTATATAAGCCCGTCCGTAAATAAGCCGGCAATATAGCTTTGCAACGTCAAATTTGTCCAAAGTCCGTATATTAACCGATCCCCCAAAAAGCAGCAAAAGACGAAACGTAGTTGTTTCTCACGATTTTTAAACCAGCTAGTTCCCTTCAATAGTTTGAACAACGAAATGAGAAGACGAATATTGGCAGATGCTAGCATTTCGTATTATCTCGTCAGTATCAATACAATAACAGGGAAATCCTTTTATATGTCTTACAGGGCACAGTCAAGCCAATCAAATTTATGGTTGTAGTCATTGTTGTTGGGATTAGGTCCACGGCAACCGCAGGTTGACAACTAATTGCTTTTGGACACACAAAGGTGGTCTAATTCGGCTAATTGCGACGGTCTCGGCAAATCGTAAAAGGCGTGCATTAGTATGACGTAACAAGATCCGGAACGCCGATAAGGGATTGACCTGGTGACTTGTCGACAAAATGTGTCTGCCTATGGAGGACGCTGGCGGCTTACGCGGGCACGTATCGTCGGAGGTGGATTGAGTAACCTCTCGCTGAACCCAGTTTGGTAAGTGCTCCTTCACTCTGGAATCTAAAGCCCGTTCGGTCCTGCCAATGTAACTGATACCGCAGTCACACACGAATTGGTAAACACAATGTGATTTGGCGCCGACGGGTTCATCTTCCTTTACTGAAGGTAACGGCAACTTTCGGGTTCTGTTGATAATTAGCGCATCCGCAGCACAGTATGTACGCTGAATGGCCGATACAATGCGTTTGGTTATCCTTCTTGCTGTGGTGTCACCCTTGAATGGTAGCTCGATGTACACCTTTTTCTTAGGGGCTGTCAACACCATCTCCTTGGGCGGTCTAAGTTGGCTATGTTTGTCTATGAATCGCTTTGGGTAGCCATTCTCCATAAGTGTTTTAGTGATCAGCTCAAACTCCTCAGGCAGGCAGTCGTTGGAGCAGATACGTCTGGCCCGAGTGAATAATGTTTTACCAGCGCGCGCTTGTGTGCCATCGGTGAGAAGTTAGTGAAGTGTATGTATTGGCCGGACCACGTTGGCTTCCGGTATACAGATCGCTTAATCAGCGCATTATCCCTGCGACTCATGAGAATGTCTAGATACGGAAGACGTCCATTCGATTCGAATTCAAGAGTCACCTTCAGGTTGGCGTGAACAGTATTAAGTTTGTCTACTAATTGTTCGATTTGCATCTCCGTGGAACCGAAAACAAGGATATCATCTACATATCGTTTGTAATACGGCAGCTGAGAAATCTATCCACTTAGTTTCCTCTCAAGCATCAACATGAAAAAATCAGCCAGTACCGGGCACAACGGACTACCCATAGCCACCCCATCAATTTGGCGATATGAGGTGTGCTGGAATCGGAAGGCGACATTCTTCGTGCAAAGTAACTGGGACCGTCTCAGGAGGTCTGCGCGTATTGGTTGACGGAAATTCTCCTCTTCTATCAGGTGGCAAATGTAATCAACTGTCTCTAGCAAAGGGACATTAGTAAATAACGACTGCACGTCCACTGAGCACATAACCTTGTCGGCTTGGCTGATGTTGTCTAAGTCTTTGATTATTTCAAAAGAGTCCTTAATGGTGTGCAAATTGCTGTGCTGCCCCAGTGGCGCAAGGATCCGAACTAACCAGCGAGCCAATTTGTGCTGCGGGGAAGTTACCATCGACAAAATGGGTCTTAGTGGCATGCCCTGCTTGTGAGTTGTTGGTAACCCGTACAACTGTGGTGTCGAGGTGCTTGTAGGTGGTTTCATCAATTACACGATGTAGGATAAGCGTTTCAAGGTGTCGGGTTATGCGGGCCTCTCGGTGCGTTGAAACTTGCTTTCGTCACTTAGAACGTTTAGCATTTTTTGTATGTAATCACTCTTGCTCATGACAACTGCTCCTGAACCTTTGTCCGGTTTTAGTACAACCACTCCCTTATTTCTCAGCTCTCGTAGCGCTTTTAAATGACGGCTTGTAAGCGCACACTTTTCGTTTACCGGTACCATGAGGACTTCATAAGCAATGTCGGTCAATTTATTCCTAAACCAACTGACAGCATCAGGACTGGTCGACTGAAGTTCAGCTACTTGGTCGAAAAAATTCTGAAACTGTGCTTCAACAAACAATCGATTCAGCTTGTTGGGAGTAACTTTGTAATCGATCCCCAAGGCTAGTGCTTCTAGTTGCATATCATCAAGTTGTACATTTGACACATCCAAGACGTACTTACCGAGATCACGTGTAACGGGTTGGTCCTTTGCTTCCATCAGGGATTTCAATAGGCGCTTTCTACAAGTTTCTTTCGTGCGATCGATAAGTCGCTGGCAAAATATTGAGAAGACAATACGGCAGCATAGGGACAGACTCTCCACAACCGGCATCAGGCGAGTATGTGTCTCCATCAGAGTTGTTAGCTTTGCCTTGGTCATGTCTAATTGCGCTGACGCAATGCGTCTAAGGTTACGATTAGAAGGCGGGAGCTTGTTTCTGCGTAACAATTCCAACATTAAACGTGGGTAACGGCGTAGAATAACACACTCGGAAAGAAAGAAGATTTCCACACGTTTGCAAGCAAGCTTGCATCTTAGGTTAAGAATACGATGCAGCAGACGGATAGTTTCGGCGGGAATTCGTCACCTTTTTCGATTTGCCGAGACCGTCGCGATTAGCCGAATTAGACGAGCCTTGTGTGTTCAAAAGCAATTAGTTGTCAACCTGCGGTTGCTGTGGACCTAATCCCAACAACAATGACTACAACCATAAATTTGATTGGCTTGACTGTGCCCTGTAAGACATATAAAAGGATTTCCCTGTTATTGTATTGATACTGACGAGATAATACGAAATGCTAGCATCTGCCAATATTCGCCTTCTCATTTCGCTGTTCTCATGCACGCCGATCAACCTCCCTCAGTTCCCCTAAACTGCAATCAAGATTAGAACGTGTGAGGCTCACTTTAATCATGTCCTGGTAACGTAACTTTGGTTTCCCCCACGTGCCGCTTCCCAATACTCAGCTGACCATATAATAGCTGCTTCGGTATCCGCGTCGAATCCATGCGGCTCACATGACCGATCCACCTCAGGTGTCTCAATAGCAGTATGCAGTCCACTGCATATATCCCACTTCGGCGCAACACTACTGTGTCCGCAACTCGCTCGCACCAAAAAATGCGCAGAATCCGTTGCAAACACTGCTGATGGAACCGCTCGAGATATCGCACATCCCGACGGTACATCGTCCACGTTTCACTGCCGTATAGAAGAACGGACAGTACCATGGATTTGTACACCATCAGCTTTGTGCAAATGCTAAGCTGGTGTTTGTTCCACACTCAAGCTTCCCGAATGCCGTCGCCGCCTTTGACACGCGGATACGCAGCTCACTGTGTAGCTGCTGATCTGTCGACATCACACTCCCAAGGTAGCAAAAGCGGGAGGTGATTTCTAACACTTCAGCACCAATGCTGATTCGCTGAAGATTGCACCTCCGGTGAAGACTGAAAGAGATAGACAGTTTTGAGTGTGTTGATGGTGAGCTCGAATTTTGCCGCTATCGAAGCCAGAGCACTAGTCATGTGCTGCAACTCATCCGCGCTGTGTGTAAGCAACGCACAGTCGTTAGCAAACAGCAACATACGGATAGTTGTCTCACAGACTAGAGTTCTCGCACCGAAACGATGGATGTTCAGCAACTCACTATCAATACGGTGCTCCACACGAACACCGTAAGCACAAGCGGCATCAAAAGCACAAGGCATCATTGCATGAAGATAGATGGTATACAGGGCATGAGTTAAGACACAGCCTTGCTTCACAACAGAGACAACTGCAAAGTCATCCGAGGTCTCTCCACTCAGCTGCAACCTCGCCCGCATACCACTGTGCAGACATTCAAGTACATTTACAAACTTACGCGGGCAACCAAACTTACCCAACACCGGCCACAATACCACGCGGTTCACCGGATCAAATGTCTTGGCGAAATCTACACAAAGCGAGTACAATGGCTGGTGTCGTTCTCTGCACTTTTCCTGCAACTGACGAGCCGCAAACACTATACCTATAGTGCTGCGACCCGAACGGAATCCACACTGCCCTTCCGCCACGTTAGGTTCCACAACCTGGCTGACGAGGCGGTTGAGCAGGATTCGGGCAATCACCTTGCCCACACAACTCAGCAAGTTGATGCCACGATAATTCGTGTAACATTGCTTGGTTGTACAGTGGCAGCACAAAGGCATCCTTCAGATCAGGAGGCACCTCCTTCTTAATCGAACCGCGTTGCAGCAACTGGTGCAGGGCAGTCACCAACTCGGGTCCGCCGTGTTTCAATACTTCATGCAGGATCCCGTCGGCCCCCAGCACACTTGCCGTTTCGCAGCTGAGCAAGTGCTCTCAGCGTCTTATCCAACGTCGGCGTTTCCGCCAGACTCGCCTTCACATCGTGCTGCTTGAGGCCGTTCAATGTAGGCCAGTCGATCTCCGAACAGTTGTTCAAGAGACAGTCAAAGTGTTTCCGCCAGACCTGCATTATGTCTGCAGTCTGTGTGCAGGTGGCGCCTGAACTACCATCGATCGGCGCCCTCAGCGGCTCAAATATCGGTTCATACACCGCCTTCAAGCAGTCAAACAATTCCTTGTATTGGCGGCGTTCGGTGTAACATACCATCTGCTTCGCCTTCTCCGTCCACCATGC